AACGCCCCAAGATTTTTTTCATTATTATTATTATTTTTAAAATAAAAATAGTTCGAGATGTTACCAACATCTTCTTTATCTAATTTAAGAGGAAATATCACTTTCATTAAGTGTTGAAAATGCATAAAAATATCTATTAAATAATTTACACAAAATATGTTTTTTAAATAAAAGTTGTAAAAAAAAAATTAAAAAAAAATAATATATATATATATATATATATATATATATATCATTGTAGTTAGTTTATATAGTATAAAAATGTATTAGCTTTTATTTAAAAAAGAAGAAAAAAAAAGAGGACTAAGTACACGGAAACCTGGAGAAATCAATTTTTTTTCACTTATATTTTTGTGTTCATTTTCAGGCTCATTACGGGATACAAAACGAAATCGAAATATTACATTCTTAATATCGTTTTGAAGTACTCGCGGCATAGTATTGTACGTCATTAACGGTGTGTGAAACGGTCAATCATAACAAATGTTATAGGACGTCAAAGTAAGCATTTTTAAACTATATTTCAAAATTTTCGATAACAAGCTAACTTTAAAAATTCACCGACGATTATGTGATAGTCGAATCGATAAATATTTTACATTCTCTTGAAACTCATTTTGAGAACTATATCGTTAAGATATTGAATGATCTAAATACATATCAAAAATAGTTAAACGGACATTAAACGGATGTGTTAAAAAATACTCATATGTCGTTTTTCTTTAAAAATTCAATTATTTTATTATTATTTCGAAATTTTCGATAACAAGCTAATTTTAAAAATTCGCCAATGATTGTACGATAGTCGAATCGGTAAAACAATGTTTTACATTCTCTCGAAACTTATTTTGATAACTATATCATAGAGATATCGAATGATCTAAATAAATATCGAAAATAGTTAAACGAAAATTAAACGTATGTGTTAAAAATGCATTTTTTTCTTAAAAAAATTAATTATTTTTTTCTTTTTAATTCTTGTCTCTTCCAAATAAAACTTAATTTTTCAGTTTTAATGAAAAAGTTATTTGTAGGTCAAAAAAATTGAAGAGAAAAAAATTAAAAAAATTATATATAGTGTGGTCTCCGTGCACGGAGGATTATTTAATTTTTTTTGTACTTTTCCGTTTTCCATTTTCATACGTTATGGCCACACCTTTTCAAATCAATTCATTTGCTTATATTATTATATTATATATATAGTGTAAGAAAGGCAATGTGAATCTATGTAACACGCAACTTTCCAAACCTCCATCGTTATTCCGTGCTGACCACTTTTATAAGTTAAAAAAAAATAACTTTTAGTAAAAAAATAAATAAATAAACATATTAACAAAAAAATATTTCTAATATATGTAAAAATTACTTATATAAGTAAAAAAATTCGTTTAAAACTATTTAGAAGTAAAAAATAAAATAAAGTTATGAAATTTAAATGAAGAATATATAAATATTATTTACTTAAAATTGAAAATTTTACTTTATAAATAATTGATTTTTTTATCAATTTATTTAAATTTCTTTTTAATTCTTTTTTCTTTCAAATAAAATTTATTTAAATTTTTTTTAAAATTCTTTTGCCCTACCAACCTCGGAGTGACTGTTGTATCGTCTGAAGAATAGACCTGCTGTTAGGGTTCTAATTCTTACACCAACAAGGGAGTTGACCATCCAGTAAGTGTCACTTTAAGTTATTTTTACGTGTGAACCTAAGTTTGTTATTTAAATGTTTGTGTACGTGGATATTCTCTTTCAATTTACAACTGTATGAGTTATTTTTGAATTACAAGTATAGCCTCTCGAATTGAAGTTGCTAAAGAAAAACATTTTGTAAAATTCAATTTACAACTTATTTGCAATATCAGATAAAAAAAAATATTTTCATCTACATTAAACAAAAAATACAATAAATAATTAAAAATAAATTATCGTTGACATATATACAATCACAACATTCACTATACTTATTTATAAGAATAAAAATAAATTATCATAACATAAAATATACAATCGACCAAAATATGAGAATTAAACAAATATTTTTTATTTTCAAATACATTTTGTACAATTTATAGATTTTACGCTAATAAAATTAAAATAAATACAAAATTCGTGCAACGCACGAGACGCAAACTAGTTCTAAACAAAAATTCTAACTTCTATATACATATATATAATTCACAAAAAAACGAAACTCCAATAATTACTTTGAGACTTCTCAGTTCCAACATTTAATCCAAATGTACTTCTTTAAGAGATTATTGATTAATCATATCAATTATTACCGAAATTAAGGGATTTAATTATGTTTTAAGTTATAATATTCTTTTCAATCCAAGTAACCGTACTGAGTGAAATCTGATTCATTTTATTATTTTATTATTATTTACATTTTATTTATTAATAAAATATAAAATCTAGAATACTTTTTTTTTATCAATATAAGTCAAATATGACTAGTCCAAAATTATTTTTTCTTGAGCCAATTTATATTATTTAGCACGAACTACAAAATAAGTATAATATCGATATATCTTTTATCAACTTTTGAAATACGTAAATATTCAACCCAAATAACCTACGTTAAATTTTAAAAGTACTCATAAACAAGGTAAATATTTTATATAAATAAGTGGGTTGAGCTTTTTTTTATTGTTTAAACTTAGTGTGATGATAACTAGACATGGACGATTCCATTTGCTAAATAACCAAATATTAAATTTAGGCCCCACATGAAAAATAGTAAGAAAAATTCAGGGTGTTACACTTAGACTTGGCACTTCAAGTTGAGAAACTTGCTGACCTCACTAATGAGAGCAGTGCTAATGAAAGATCTTTCCATAAGGCTTGGGAAAGGGTGTAACGGATTAAGCTTAATGTTTATGCGGATGATCTTAGCAAAGAATATCAAGTCCACTATCCCAAAAATTGAGATTGTTAAAGAATATGTGAAGTTTGTAGAAGAACATTCCCAAATAGCTGACAAGTCAATTGCTGACACACTGATGGGTACCTTAGCCACTATGAAATTTGATGGTTCTCGTACCATATATGAACATATTACTGAAATGAGTAATATTGCGGCAAGACTTAAGACTTTTAGGATGATTGTGGACAGTGGTGGACCTAGTCAAGGTCCTAGTGGGTCACTTGACCCACCAGCTTTAAGTTGGTCTTTTTTTTTTTTTTTCCCTTTATTTATTTATTAAGAACCAAAAATTAGATTGGGAAATAATGATAGTTGGGCTTTTTTATAGAATAGAGTTCTAACAATGATTGAACAATTGGGAGAGTGAGTTGAAAATATTATTTTGTCATTTGTGATATTTAATTTGAAAATTTTTTAAAAATTGTTATTCATCATATATATGAGATTATTTGAAATGCTTTAGGAATTATTATTTATCATATATATGAGATTTGTGAATCTATAGTAGTGATTATATGTAGGAGTTTTTGCAAAATACATAAATTTTTTTGTGACTTTTTAATAAATTTGATTATGCTTCACTAACTCCAAATGTTCATGTCCGCCAGTGACTGTGAATGAAAACTTTTTGGTACAGTTTATCATCAACTCCTTGCCTCTAGAATATGGTCAATTCCATATGAATTATAATACCTTAAAGGATAAATGGAATGTGAATAAATTACACAGTATGCTCAAGCAAGCGGAAACAATGTTTAAGAATCAAGGAGGTTATTCTGTTCATCTCGTAAGTCATCAAAGAGTTGGAAAGAAATATAAAAAAAGTCTCAAAATGACATTAAGCAAGGACCACTAAAGACAAATGACCTTTTCTGCCCAAATCCACAATAAAACACACACGAAAGATATGTGCCGTTTATGTCACAACTCTGGGCACCATAAAAGCAACTATCTGAAACATAAGGCATGGTTCAAAAGTAAAGGTAAGATTATTTTTTGTGTATGTTTCAAATCTAATTTGGAAAAAGTTCCTTATAATTTTGTTACAACATTCAATGTTAACGTAAAAAAAAGGAGTATTTTTTGACATTTCCTTATATGATGTTCAATTCTACACCGTAAAAAACTTTTTAGGGCATGTAATGCAGCAAAATTTTGTTGCAGTAAAAGTGACTTTTTATCTACTAATGCATATTTGAAAAGATAAATGGATATAAATGATTCTCATTATTATATTTACTTGGACATATCATTTAACATCATTCGTTTGTAAATGGCAAAAAAATTTATTCACAAATAATGACTTTATTAAGACAATTTTATTGTTGATGAAATGTTAACACCAAAAAATTTCATCACTAAGGCATGTTAGAGAATTAAATTTCACTTTTTTTTTTTCAAACACATTTTCATCATACATTCTTCCAATAAAATAATTTTTTATAATTTAAATTTTTTCCGTACTTTTTAATCATACATTCTGCAAAAAAATTATTTTTTATAAAATTTATTTTAAAATAGGAACTAAGCCCCTATTTGACTCGCTTCTAAAAAAAAAAAAAATTATTTCTCATACTTATTTTCAATGTCATATTCATGTAATAAAATATTCTGCACGTAAATACAAATTTTTTTCCTATTTTTCAACTATACATTCTTCAAAAAATTGCTATTCAAAATATTGTTGCTCTCAATTTCACTTTACAATGGCTATCAAACATGTGCTAAATAATGTAAAAGCATCAATATTTTGAAAGTGCAATTTTATTGAAACGGTCACTAAAAATTAGAGACTAATGTGCAATTTTCGTCCCCGTTTGACCTACATTTTTTGAAATTAAAATAGATGAAATAGTGTTTATTCTTGGAGAATGAATGATTGAAAAAGAAATAAATTTTTTTAATTTATGTGTAATATTATTTTATAGAAGATTGTGTGGTTAAAAATAGGAGTGAGAAAAATGAAATTTAATTTAAAGTGGGTTAAATGTGGGCTGAAAATTATTATTATTATTATTATTATTATTATTATTTATTTATTTATTTATTTATTAACAATTAAGCCCTCTGCAGTCCACTCTGGGGAAGGCCACTGAACTCACCCCCACGCCTACAAAACATACGCTCTCACCCGCACAGCGAAGCAACTGTAAGAAGAAGGAAGAATGAAGGCGGTAGTGATCACAAGCCCTGGTGGCCCAGAAGTGCTTCAGTTGAAAGAAGTTGATGATCCACAAATCAAAGATGATGAAGTTTTGATCAGAATTGTAGCCACCGCCCTCAATAGAACTGACACCCTTCAGCGGATGGGTAGGTACGATCTGCCTAAGGGTGACAGCCTGTACCCGGGTCTCGAATGCTCTGGTACCATCGACGCCGTTGGGAAAAATGTTTCTCGCTGGAAAATTGGTGATCAGGTATTCTATCTATTTCTGGAATATTAATGGGATGATTGAATAAATTATGTATTGGGCATTTTTTTCTATCAGTTTACCTGTTTGTTTTGAAGCTGAATTCTCGATTTTATGAAGTCATAATATGTCTTTATATTGATGAATTGTTGGCTATGGAACCTGTATTTTGATTGACTGACCCTCAAAAGAACTGTATAATTATTCACGGAAAAGAATATTGAACTTGTTCCTATTTTGGGTATGAATAAGCCACAGTCTCACAGAGCCACAAGCTCTTTGATAAATAGCCATTATATTGTTCAATTTTGTGATGTCTAATTTCTTCTCAGAGGACTAGGGGAAAAATTATGATAGGAGGAAATTGTGCGAATGCAGGTATGTGCTTTAGTTGGCGGGGGAGGATATGCGGAGAAAATAGCTGTACCTTCTGGGCAGGTTCTTCCTGTCCCACCTGGTGTTTCTTTGCAAGATGCAGCTAGTTTTCCTGAAGTAGCTTGCACTGTCTGGTCGACTATCTTTATGATGAGCCATCTATCCAAGGGAGAGACTTTACTGGTAAACTGCGTACTTTATTTTTCTTTTTCTGATCTAATTGATTGTTGTGATTGAGTTTTTTTTAGTGAGGAATTATTTCGCTGTGATATCTATTAGTAGAAAAATGTCAAAGTAAGACAGCACTTCAAAAAGCGAAACTATTCAGATAATTTTTGAATTTTGAAATGTATATTGGTCGATATAGAATAAAGCAAGGGAAAACCGTGAGCTTGGTGATGTAAAGTTGAAGCTGACTTTCTAATTGGAGAAGGGAGTGAGGAACTAGTCTGTTTATCTAGGTTAGCTACAATAAGGGTTGCACATTTTACTTTGACGTGAACAAAGACCACTAAGAAGTACAGAGATGTAATATACCTAAAATCTTTTCACTGTAAATGCCTATTATTGTTGATGGATCTAGTTTTGTTGCTTGATGATGATGTAAAATCATTTTAAAGGTTTAATCCTGTGTACAGACTTAAAAGAAGTTAGTCTTTAAGGTTGAACCTTTACCATTTTTAGTTAACTATTTTGGAATCAAGCAAAAATCTCAAGAGGCGAAAGAGAGTTGGAGAGATGATCTGGGAACTAACTTAGATGGAGAATTTCTCAAATCGGGGAAAATGCTAAGTGAAATGAGTGCTAGTAATCTGAAAGCTAACACGGGATGAGATGACTAATATGTTTATATCAATTATCTCTGGTTAATTTAAGATCTGTCTGAAGGTTAATATGGTTATCAGATTTTACTAAATGTTAAACTGGAAAAGAACATATCATTTCAGATCCACGGAGGCTCTAGTGGAATTGGAACATTTACAATTCAACTGGCTACATACCATGGAGTGAAAGTATTCGTCACTGCAGGTGTGCTACCAAATTCACATCCATTGACATGAAATAATGATTATGATAGTTTGGGTTCTACCTTCTTTGGGCGATAAAATAATAAACTTTTTTCACCAGGAAGTGAGGAAAAACTAGCTCCTTGCAAGGACCTTGGAGCTGCTGTTTGTATAAATTACAAGACTGAAGATTTCGTTGCACGAGTGAAGGAAGAAACAGGAGGAAAAGGTTGAAAAACGTTCATATGTAGTCTAATAATTTATTTCTGCAATCGTGATTTCATTTGAATGCACTATACAAGTTTGCAATCAAACCCACCATGTAAATTTTAATAGCATGAAGCAAGAATCTTCCCATTTCTATGATTCATACATTATCTTTGGGATATAACTTGAATGGGTTTGATTGCAGGTGTTGATGTTATACTTGATAACATTGGTGGTTCATACCTTCAAAGGAACATTGACAGCCTAAACTTTGATGGAAGGCTATTCATAATTGGCCTCATGGGTGGAGTAAAAACAGAAGTAAATCTTGCTGGCTTGCTAGCAAGACGCCTCACAGTGCAGTGTAACATGCTTAAGCCTTCTGCTAATTTATGTTTTCTTTTTTCCTTTTACATTTCAAAGCTTCTAACTAGAATCGACACTCTTTGACGCTCAATCATAATTCTTTGAAAATATGAAGTAAGCCAATATCGTGACAATACATAGTGATTACTTTTAGAAAAAGGAGAAAATATGCTCCTATTTTAATACTGTTAAAGGTTGATTTTCTTATAAAAGAATTTCTTACATTTAGATAACCTCTTGGAAATGTGACTAGATATTGTAGAGAATGTGAATTTTGCACAGAACTTGGGGTTTGTCTTCAGGTGCTGGTTATGAATGTTAAGAGTCTGCAGTTGAAGAATGATAATGGAAACTCCTACAACACTCTTAAAATATCATGCTTCTCCATTGGGTTTATAATATTAATTGGCACTTTGGAGGAATCTCTGAAACCACCAAATTAGATAACCATAGATGCTTTCTATACAATGTCACGCAAGGATAGGAGGGGCTTCGGCGAATGAAATCTGGCAACTACTCTATACCATTGCAACAAAGAGCCTGTTTGAGCCACATTATTTCAAAAAAATACATTCTTAAATAGTGATTTGACATTATTTCAACCACACATTCTTCAATAAAATAATATTATACGCAGATCAAAAACTTTTACTTATTTTTTAACCGCACATTTTTCATCTATACACTATTTAATAATGCATTATTACCAAAATAATGTAGCTCAAACACCCCCTAAATGTTAAGAAGAAAAAGGGAACATTTCAGTTGCATCATATTGTAGTTGTTTTGAGAGAAGATTCCATATCACTGAGAAAACAGAGGAAGAATAAATTGCCAGGTGAAGTGAAAATGAAGTTAAAGAAATCACGTAAACTAAAGTGATCAGATTGAAGCTCTCTCATTGTGCTTAGTTTGGGACTGAAACTTTTAATTGGAACGGGGAATTAGATCAATGAGTTTGCTTTGTTTACTGAAAATTATGGCCACTCAAGTTCTATTAGAAACTTAGAGTAATTATTATTTTCATTGAGCATTAGTCAACTACCTATCGTATTTTATTATATATCTATTTTTCATTTTCAACTGCTATTGTGGTCTACATCCACTGGACACATGGTATCTCCCAGTATTTTTATGCACACTGAAGAATGAAGGGAACTCTGATTTCGCCGTGATTGGTTGGCCATGACATCAAAATCATTTTTTGTAGACCATCGATAACTTGTATAAATAGTTTTCTTTAGTCTTATATTATGTCCTTTATTTGTTCGGAGTATATTTTGAGTTATGGCTTTGTTCGCAGCTGCTGGCTTGCGAAATAGGAGCCGTGACAACAAAGCTCTGATTGTGAGCGAGGTAGAGAAAAATGTATGGCCGGCTATAGCTGCAGGAAAGATAAAATCCGTTGTGTACAAGTGTTTTCCGTTAGCCGAAGCTGCAGAAGCTCACCGCCTAATGGAAAGCAGCAACCATATAGGAAAGATTCTCCTCTTGGCTCCATGACGCGTTCTTAAATAGTCTTCAACCTCTGTTATTACCATTCAATATACAGTGGAGGCACGCCTGTTTGTTATGCAATACGTTCCTCTCTTTTTTTTCTTCACAAGACGTGCCTTTTCCTTTTCTTTTCAAGTGGGGGATTTAACTTAAAACGATGTCATTATATATATGAATAATGTTATGTGTATACCTTAACACATAGCATTACACCCCCCTTAGATGAAAGGGGGCTCACACATATTTTATTGCATCTGGGTCTCCCTCCATGCGAGGAGAGTGTAAAGTCATATATAAACGATTAAGTACACATAACATTGTCCTATATACACACACACACACACATATATCTTGTACTAAAAAAACTTCAGTGCAACAGAGTAAAATTTACACCATCTAATAAGTGAACTTAGCCTCATTTGGCAAAAAGTGTATTTTTCCCCCTCCAAATCATGAATCCAAAAGCTTTTTCTTAGTTCAAAAAATTGATTCTAATTTGTTTTGTTTATATAGATATATAATCGTCATACAAAACTAAAAATTCATGGTTAGGAGGTATTGCAGCCTATGGTTATTCATTCATTTTCATTTAATTATAATATTAATTATACAACACACTTGTGTACATTAGTTAAGAATGCTTATTTAGGTGTTTAAGGGTGGTTAATTAATTTATTAATTAAGTTGCAACTATGGAGTACTTCTGTTGTTGGCTATCGCCAAAAATCCAATTCAAAATCATGGCCTACCAAGCTATTTTTTTCATGTCAAGGGGCAATCTTAAAAGAGTATTCCAGCTTCAACACTGTAATGGTTGATGAGACAATACTGAAACCTGAGTTATAAATAAAAAGAAAAAAAAAAAGAAGAAGAAAGAAGGTACCATACACGATGATGAAGTTGTGTTTTGAATGAGATCTCAATATCGAGAGCTAAGTACATTAGGTTGAGGAAATAATACATCCATTTTTAGGCAAATTGCAGCTAATATTGCCGGCCATTAGTGGCCAACGGATAACCAAACTGCAAATGTATATTTTATTGGCAAATCAACTCAAGATCTCGTTCAATGTCTTGCTGGAGGAGACTCGTGTCGTGTCATTCTCGTAAGTTAGAATTCTGAACTCAAAATGTTGCTTCGAAAGTGAAATTACAAATGCATCCTAAGCCCGCTAAAGAACCTTCCAAAAACTTAATTGTAGGAGCTGAAAGTGAACTAGCAACATGCAGGGCCGGTCTTGAGCACAGGCAAATGAGGCTTGTTCCTCAAGCCCAAAATCACAAAGGACCTATTTTGGCCCAAAGTGTTTTTTTTAATATTAAAAGAAGGAAAAGGAAAAAGAAAATAGTTTTTTTATTAATTGTGAGATGATTGATATATTTGTTTGTCCTTTTAATCTTAAGTTTTAAGTTAACAACATGTTGCATAATATATCGTTGAATTTTGCATTTACGTTGATTTTGAAGCCTAATTTTTGGACTTCGCCTCAGGCCCCAACAATCACAGGACCGACCTTGGCAACATGTTATTAGCCTAGTTTGGCTCACATTTATAAATTGTTTATAAGCACTTGAACCAATTTTATCCACATAATCGAGTAAGAAATTCACCGCTCATATTTTCTATTTATAATTTAAATCGATTATAAACACACCTCATACATGCTCTTAGCTTGAGAGATTGAGCAAAAGAAAAAAAAATGTAGTCATTTAAGCATAGAAGTGTGAAAAGACTCGTTCATACCTCACAAAGTGCTCGTGTGGCATTTCAGTATGTAAATTTACATGTTTTTCCAGAAGCTTACCTGCAGAATGATTATCTTACAATCATTAGTGCTTGCTTGACGAGGCTTTCGAGTTCTTATAAGCACTTAAAACATGTTTCGTGCATCTGAAAGTATGAGAACTATCAGACAATGATATCCTCCCTCGTTTTTGCCAACCCAAGAAATAGAGAGAAAACATCACCATAAAAAGGTTAGCTCCAAGAATGAAAATCACAATCTTACACCATATATGATTTTCGTACTGCTTCGATAATTGAATAAGCATTTCAGAGTGACATCAACTTTGACGTTACATGACAAGAGATTGTTACCACTGGCACTTATCGCTTTAACCACATTTGATGATCCAAGGAGATGCTAATCAAGAGGGTAAACGGTCAAATGAAAGATTGACACACGAAAGAGTGGAGACAAAAACTCACTTACATCTTTTAGTGCATATACAATAAATCAAGCTCTTACAACCAACTGTACACAAGCAAATACAAGGAGCAGAAATAGTATTACTGAACTCTATTTAAAAAAAAAAAAAAAAAGATCATACTTTTTTGGACAATTTTAACTCTATGACAATTCAATTATTTCAATAATACATTACTTTTCTTTTTTCAATATATAATTAATACTGCAAAATCTTTGTCAAGTATGAATTGTGTTATTAATTCTCAATTAATTAATATTCACATTAATCTAGACTCTCTAAATCTTGATTTGATAAATCTTGATCTACATGAATCTAGAGTTGTTATAGATGAATTTATTTCTATTTATATATTTATGAATTTTAATGGATGTTTAAATTCATGGAATAGCATTTAATTTTTATGTATCAAATGTAGTATAAAAATGTTACTCATTTGTAGTATTTCATCATTACAAAAATTTCGAATCATAGAATTTGAGCTTTGAGAGTAAATTTTATTCTTTTAAATTTATATCCTAATTTTTTTTTTTTTTTAGTTTATTAGAGATTTATCAAATCCTTCCAACAAATTGGTATCACATATTACTTTTACAATACTTATGAAATATTTTAGAATAACGTGCAATGCACGTTCAATTCTAACTAGTGACTACAAAGACATCTACATGAATTGATGCAATACAATTTAATTAGTTTGTTAATATAGGAAATAGGAAAAACAAACAAACAAAAAACACTCCATCTGACGCTGCTTCTGTACACATTCCAAGTAGCATATTTCTCAAAGACATCATAAGTATTTGAGACATCTTCCTCATTACCATCCAGTTCAAAAAATAAAAGAGGTTACAAAAACAAAAACTCTGTCAAACCGGACAACCAACCGGACGTCTGCCTTTGAATTTGGACGACTGAAATAGCCTCTATGCATATGAAATCTGATGGTCAAAAATACGACCGTTGCATCAACCGAACGTCTGCCTTTCGTGAATTTAAGAGAGGCTCTGCAAAACTTTCTGAAAAACCGGATGACCAACTGGATAAGCATCCGGACATCCGACCGTTTCGGCTGATTTTCTCATTTTATACCCCCTTTGATCCGATTTGAATGTTTTGGCAAATGTAGACTTTTTTGGAAGGTACTTTAACTAGTTTTCAAGGTAAATGATATTTTTAAAATATGATCTAAATTCAAACATCATTTTGAAAATCAATTTTACTTTGCATCAAAACATTTTATGTAAGTGATAATTAACTTTTATTATTCATTGCTAAATATCAAAGTATTAATACCTTTACATTTGAACTAAGAAGTTTAGTCTTTGATCTTGATTCTTGTCCTGATCTTTCTTTAACGTTTGACTCTTAAGCTATAGATCTTGATCTTTCTTCATGAGTCCGATTTGTGATGGTCTTGATTTTGATCTTTTGACGACGATTGATTAATTTTTCATCTGATGCTTTGAAGACTAAAAAAGATCAACTTGTTTGTTATAATAAAAACTTTAAGGTTATAATCAACCATAGGTAAACATATATTTCAATTATTTTACACTTATAAGATGTTTTAATAAAAGTTGGTAAACTTAAAATCACAAAAGAACTTTAAAAGAAAAAATGGAGGACTTGTATTTGCTAAGTCTACTCCTAATAAACTTTATTTGCTAACTTTAAAAGAAAAAATGGAGGACTTGTATTTGCTATGTCTACTCCTAATAAACTTTATTTGCTAAGTCTACTCCTAATAAACTTTACTTACTTGAGAGGTTTTCACTTTTAAAATGGATCTGTCAAAGGATCTTGATGATAATCTAGATGTGTTTAACAAACTTTTGCAAGACATTTTATCGTGATGAAACAATGTCTGAAATATATAATGCCATAATTTTGCTTAATTTCAAGCCTGACACTTATAAAGAGGTAAAGAATGCAATTAAATATGATATCACACTTTAACACGTAAAATTGTCATAGATTCCCTTAAGAGTAAGAAGATGAAGATTAGAGTTAAAAAACATGATAAGAATAGTGATGAGATGCATATGATAAAGGATAGAACATAGTTCACGTAAAACAATCATGAAAAAAGTATGACAATGGTGACTCAAGTGATGAGGGTGGTAAAAAGAAGGGTCTAGGTTGGGATAGATCTAAATCGAAAACGAATGGTAAGCAATGTTATAACTGTAGAAAGTATGGATATTTTATAAGAGACTGTTCTAAAAAAATAAGGAAAATGAAAAGGTGAGATGTGAGGTGAACATTGTCACTGGGTATAACTATGACCCGAGTAAAGTTTATTGAATGTAAACTCTATTGTGGCTATAACTACATTTGCATCTGTGTGGAATCTCATTTGCATGAATAGTTGCTTGATTTTGGTATGCTGTTTTATGTTACATTTCATTATTTTTGACGTGTATATTTGCATGAATTTGAGAGTGATCATGTACTTTGTGTATCGTGTTGCATATTTAGCGGTCAAGATTGCTATTGTGAGGTTGACATTGGGTGTGGTCATTTTAGGAGGTGCATTAGCAATAAGTGTGTCAACTGGTAGTATGGAGTGTAGATGCTTGAGGGTACATTGGTGACATGTGCAGGGGTGTGGAGAAATGACATTTAGACCATGAGCGGTGAGGTGATTAAAATATTTTGAAATCTTCTATTTGTTAGAATCTTGATCGAGTGGAGTGAGAGAGAGACACCCATATTACCCATATTAGGTGAAGACCCATTATCTGCTTAGTTAGAGAGAGATGTGGTAGTGATAGATGAATATCATATTGACTCAGGATCTTTAGTAGTTTACCAATTAGGTATGAGAAATGACCTCTCTAATGAGCGTGGTTGGCAATAAAAGAAGAAAAGTGTTCTTTAGATACAAACTAAACGAAAATGGGATAGAATAATTGCAGTGAAATCTTTTCTTGGCAGAAGGGGGGGGGGGGGTTTTTAAATTGGTTGTATATGCTGACCATTTAATTTATCAAATTAGTGTTAATTTTGATGTTCTCTATGAGTTGTACAAGTTGAAAAAATCTGTATATCCTATGATGTGTTTTCGTTGCATATTTCATAACTATATGTTAGTATGTGCTCTTGATTGATCACCGTGTATATTTAATTGTATTGGAGTTCTTGAACTTAACCCTTGATGAGTACATGAAGTAGGTATGGTATGTGTTTCAAGTCCAAGACACTAGTAAGGCTCATGATCAATTTTATTTGGTTACCTTGATTAGAAAGTGTAAACTTTGTGCTGCTTGCTTACAGTTCATTGACAACCAAGGTAGAAATTTGTTAGATTTTGTTGATACTCAATAAGTACAAGCAATAATATTAAATGATTTGATTTTTTTATAAGCTTCAACTGAGGACTAAAATGTTTATCAAGACCAATTGATTGGCTCAACCCGAAAATGAAATGGACCATTGAAAGCACATATTAATTTGTGTTATTCTTGGCCCGTTCATTAGTTGGGACGGTCCCTTTAATTTGTTAGCCATACCATCTTGTGTTTTAGGCCTAACACTATATGTACCATTGCCCTATTTGAGAGAACCGTGTTTGCATTTGAAAAAAACGGCAGCCTCTTTTCTGTTCAATTCCTCTCTTTGTTCCGTGAGGTGCAACCTATAATTTGCTTCCCTTCTTCTTCTTTGTGATATATTGCAGTAATCATTTTCTATACTTTGTGGGTTACAATCTTGGGCAACCATAGTGAATGAATTTGTGGGTTGCGCCTTTTGATTGTAATGGTATTTGACATTGGTTTTGAGTAAATTTAGCCCAGTATTGCATGAAATTAAAAGGTTTTGGAGTATACTTCAACTACAAAGTCAAATCCAAAGACCATACATTCTTTGTATGCGTGATAATTCCCAAACTTTGGAGGAATATTTCCAGACAATTGATTGGACTATAAGAATTCTAGAAAAGAAAAGAAAAATCACACACACACACACACACACACACACCCCCAACCATACTAGACGGACAGGGCCAGATAACGGGGCGCCTGTCATTCATATACACATTCACCAAATAAATATTAGAGTCTACAAACAGAATTTGGGAGGCGAAGTTCAGTTCATGTTTTCAGATGTGTCAGTAGGTGGCTGGTGGTTTACGCCAGAAATTTGACTGGGGGAGTAGATTAGGATTCAGAGTAGAAACTCTGTTGTGTGGGGGTGGGGGGGGGGGGGCTGGGGAAACTCTGTTGTGTGGGGGTGGGGGGGGGGCAGCTACTGTGCTAAGGTATATAAGCGAACACACGATCATTTTCGCAAAAAGGTTTATTTAGGCCTAAAAAATACATGAGCATCATTATGTAACTGTTATACATACAGTTAAACCATGCTATACAACTGCAGGCAAACAACATCTGACTTCACATCAAGTTCGAAGAAAAGAGTTTACTAAACCTTTTCGTGATGTGAACAATTGAAGCTCATAGTTATGGGGTTGTGCAGATCTTTCTCGTTCATCACATTGGCTTATTATTTTTGATTGCTAGATTCATACCTCATACCATGGCTGTGCATAGCTAAGCTAGGAAAAAGACAAGCAAAAAAATTATCAGAAATCTAAGGAATAACGCAGTATAAAATATCACAATAAAATGAAAACGGATTCCGCTTTCTTAAGATTTATGAGATGACCTGTAGCATTAACAACTGGCATTTTTATGAGAATGATTTTTACAGTGACTTCCTCGTACAAAAAAATTTCATGTATCTTGCATATCTTTCTTGATGCCATTCCTATCACCTAATAGTTATTTCTTCTCTCTTAAGAAACGTGTGATGATCATTAGTTGGGCACTGAGGCATGATAGAGATAATAATGCAGCATATATAAAAAATAAAATAAACAAATAAAAAAGAGCAGATAGGAAAACAAGAAGAATCTGCACATTTTTTATCCTAAAATGACTATAATTAAGATATGAAGAATCAATTAATAACAGAGAAATGTGATTTTCAAATACATACACTGAAATCATATAATTATATTTATAACGGTATCAAAGATAAGCCCTTGTGATAATATTCAAGCTCATCTTAGTCTCTCTTTGATATAGTTATGGCTAAACTTTTTAGTACACAATCTCTTGGACAATGAGAAACTAAATTACCTTCTTGAAGTAACTTTGAACCCTCATAAGAGAATAGCCTTACTGCGTTCCGGTAGGTCATGTCAGCAAGTTCTTCTTTAGTCATTTCAAGTAAATTTGCTACGTAGGCAAGTACGTGATGGATATTAGCTGGATGGTTGAGGTTTTCTTCAGGCAGTTCTGATGCACCACTTTCATCATGGGACGTATTATCAGAGGTGCTCTCCTTTTTCGTTGACGAATTTTCATCATAATCAAGAAGCTCTTCAGTAACAGAAACTTCCCTACCAATCAAGAATAGAGAATCTGATTCACTTGCTTTTGGTAGAGCATCTGGCGCATCTGTCTCCAACAAAATCCTTTCAGGAGGAATGGATTTCAACATTTTCTTCGCCTTGCTCTCTTTCATGGACATGAGAAACCCAGAAAAGGAGAAGTAAGCACCAGCTTTTGAAAGCTCAGGAACCATCTCTGCAGAACCCATATAAGAATGCAGAACCAAGCCAGCAGGAAATGGCCCCATAGATTTCATTATCTCAAGAAGATCACCAAAAGCGCGGACACAATGAACAGATGCTGGTCTTTTTAATTCTTTGGCAAGTTGAAGCTGTTCTCGGAAAATTTCAACTTGAGCAGTAAAATCAATTTTCCTTCCAATAGAACCTTTGTCCAGACCAATCTCTCCAATTGCAGCTGAAGGAGTAGCTTCAAGGAACTTCTTCAAAGTGTTTAGCCAATTTTCAGTTCTATCAGAGACATACCAGGGATGGATCCCAAAGTTTGGAACAACACAAGGATAGGTATCACTCATCTCCTTGACCAGATGCCAATCGTTTTCCGAGACTCCATTTACAGCAAAATGGATAACACCAGTATCAAGGGACTTTGTAATTAGTTTGGGGGCAACTTTCAAAATTCTTGGATCTTGAAGGTGACAATGAGAATCAAAGAGCTTAATCATTATATGAATGAGATGTTAAACTGGCTCAAAGCTTATGGTCTTCAGAAGATTTTCTCTCCAGTTCCAATTGTAAAAGAGAACGTGAATGTGTTATCGGGCCATGTGATCATATCAGTGAGATTATAAATAATTAAGCTGTAAAGAGAATTTGCAATTGTGAAAAGTAATATAAAAAATGCGATTGAGCATTACAGTTTGCAATTGAATGTTCCAAAAGAATGACAAACATGACAGCATGAGAGTTAATGTTTACTAAGAGCAAAAATAGCATGTTTGAAAAATGAAAAATAGCAAAACTTGCCTGCCCTTTACAATTAAGGAAGAGTAACGGTGCACATAGCACACCTACGAGAAAATGTATGCTGCAAGATCTAAAAGACTAGACAGCAAAACAAGCTTGTCCTATGTCAATTTGATAGGCTCTAGTTTACCATTTATTATTGTAATAGCTTATTAGCTTGTTAATTAGTTAGGGAGGAGTAACTGACGAATAAATGGGTAAGGAAGTAGTCTGCAATTCATTCATGTTGTCTGGGAAATGAAGGGAGAGACGAAGGTCTCTCAAAGACCT